AGAATTCAAAAAAAAACAAAAACAAAAACAACAAAAAGCTGAAGGCATCACATACCTGCCTTCAAATTATACTCCAAGGTTACAGTAACCAGAACAGCATGGTGCTGGTAAAAGAACTGACACAACGACCAATGGAACAGGATTCAGAGCCCAGAAATAATGCTACACACCTACAACCATCTGATATGTGAAGAAAACAAACCATGGAGAAAGGACTCTTATTCAACAAATGTGTGTAGGATAACTGGCTAGCCATATGCAGAATATTGAAACTGGACTTCTTCCTTACATCACACACAAAAATCAACTCAAAATGGGTTAAAGACTTAAATGTAAAACCTAGAACTGTAAAATCTCTGAAGATAATCTAGGAAATACCACCCTGGACATAGGAACTAGCAAATCTTTCCCAATAACAACACCAAAAGCAACTGCAACAAAAACAAAACTCGACAAATAGGACCCATTTAAACTTAAGATCTTCTGCACAGCAAGAAAACTGCCAAGACAATAAACAGACAACGTGCGGAATGGGAGAAAATATTTGCAAAATATACATTTGATAAAGGTCTAATACCCAGAATCTAAAGAATTTTGTTTTACATGCAAAAAACAAATAACTCCATTAAAGAGTAGGCAAAGGACATGACCAGACAGTTTTCAAAAGTTTGCCAACAAACATGAAAAAATGCTTAACATCACTAATCATTAGATAAATGCCAGTCAAAACCACAATAAGATACCATCACACAGCAGTCAGAATGGCCATTGTTAAAAAGTCAAAAAATAACGGATGCTGGCAAGGCCGCAAAGGAAAGTAAATAGTTGGTGGGAATGTCAATTAGTTCAGCCATTGTGGAAAGCAATTTGGAGATTTCTCAAAGAACTTGAAACCGAATTTCCATTTGACCCAGCAATCCTATTATTGGGTATGTACCCAAAGGAATATAAATTCTTCTACCATAAAGACACATGCACACATATGTTCATTGCAGCACTACTCACAATAGCAAAGACATAGCATCGACCTATATGTCTATCAGTGGTCAGTGGTAGGCTGGATTTTTAAAAATGCGCTACATATATACAATGGAATACAATGAAGCCATAAAAATGAATGAGATCATATCCTTTGCAGAAACATTGATGGAGTTGGACATCCATTATCCTAAGCAAACTAACACTGCAACAGAAAACCAAATACTGCATTTTCTCACTTTTAAGTGGGAGCTAAACTTTGAGTACACATGGACACAAATAAAAAAACAACAGATACTGGGGCCAACTTGAGGGTGGAGGGTGGAGGAGGATGAGGATCCAAAAACTACTTAATAGGTACTATGCTTATTAGTGATGGGTGACAAAGTAATCTGTACACCAACCCCCACAACATGCAATTTACCTATATAATAAACCTGCACATGTATTCCTGAACCAAAAATAAAAGTTAAAAAAAAGGTAGCCTGAGATAAAATGATTACAACGTATATGATACACAAGGGCTAATATCCATAAAGCAAGAAAAGCACCAAAAACACCATTTTGATTATTAATGGAATTGAACAGCTTTTGTTTTCTTTCTAATCAAACTGTTTAATCAGCTGTTTATATTATGGAGCAGAATGTGAAATTTAAGTGCATTTTTAAAAAGTTTTACTTTACGTTCCCAGGATACAAGAGCAGAACGTGTAGGTTTGTTGCATAAGTATGCTTGTGCCGTGGTGGTTTGCTGCACCTATCAACCTGTCATCTAGGTTTTAAGCCCCACATGCATTAGCTATTTGTCCTAATGCTCTCCCTTCCTTCACCCCCCAAACCCCTCCTGGTGCTAGTGTGTGTTGTTCCCCTTCCTGTGTCCATGTGTTCTCATTGTTGAACAGCTATTCTATGTGAACTGAACATTTCTAACTTTTCTGTGAATCACCTATTTATATTTCCTTTGCACATTTTCCATGGGGCTGGATGTTTTTCTTATTGATTTACAAGAATTCTTTATGTTTGGGATATCACTCTTACTGTGTTACATGACTTTTTCATTATTTTTTAAACTTGTTTCAAAATCTAAATTAATTGTTTAAAAACCAACTGGTATACAAGAAAGGCTGTGAAGCATAAAGTTGAATATTTATGAGAGTTGTACATTATAGTGTGATTTTATGATGCATTTCACTTATTTTTATAGTCTTAGCTACTATTTAGGTTATTACCACCTTTTATTAGCCTTCTGTATAAAGAAAAACAAAACTCCAACATATAAATACATACTTTTGGTGGATATTTTAAAAAATTGATCTTTAAGGTGTTATTTTGATATTGTAATACAAAATAAAGAAATGAGAAATACTTGTCAACTATTTATCATTAATTTCTTATTTATTTATTTATTCGTATTTCCAAAATCCAAGACCAACAGCAGTAGATAATTAGATGTTCTTTTAGTTTTATTCTTCAAGGCTTCTAAAATAGTAAGTTAATTTAACTGACAATTATTTTTAAAAGTTGAAAAGTTGAAAACATCACCTAGTGCCGCAACAAGTCCACAATATGTGATTCACCAGTTTTCTTTCAGATTGTTTTCTTAGATTGAGAAATTTAACCAATTTCGAAACCATTGAGAAACAAGCAGAGCCAGCAAAATTGGCAAAGCCTGAATTATGGGAGGATTAAATAAAATGATGTATACAGATCAGTTATGCAATGCATGAAGCATACTGAAAATTCAAAAATGTTACATGATAAAGTGAAAATAATTCATCAGTTATTCACAGTTATCTTGTGAGGTGTAGCTATTACTGCCTCCCTGTTCTACAGGAGAGAACATGGAGGCATAAAAAGACTAAGCAATTTTTTGAATATCCCACAGCTAATAAGTTGCAGAACTTGTGTTCGTAACTACCATCATATTTCCTCTCCAATGCTGCACTGAAATGGAAGTATAAAATTTTGTATAAAAACCAAAACCTGAAAAGGGGGATTAAATATTTACCAGTGAGCAGTAGGCGAGAAAGATTAGGAAACAATTCCATAGTGCGTGAACAACAAACTAATTATTTCAATCCATTTAATTTCCTCCACAGATTCTGCTTTTATATGGCATAATGTAGGTTTTCATGAATATCCTATAATTCCATAGAATAAATTAACAGATTATAGTTTGGACTTTTTTTTTGGGAGGGGGAGCCTGGGCTCTTGTTGCCCAAGCTGGGGTGCAATGGTGTGATCTCGGCTCACCGCATCCTCCATCTCCCGGGTTCAAGAGGTTCTCCTGCCTCAACATTCCCAGTAGCTGGGATTACAGGCATGCACCACCATGCCCAGCTAATTTTGTATTTTTAGTAGAGATGGAGTTTCTCTATGCTGGTTAGGCTGGTCTTGAACTCCTGACCTCAGGTGATCTGCCCACCTCGGCCTCCCAAAGGGCTGGGCTTTTTTTGTAAAGTTGATCATACTCTAAAACAGCCAGAATCACAGCCACTGTCCACATGTGGTTATGAACGTTTCAAAGCAATTAATTAAAGTAAATGTTTACCTCCTCAGTCCCACTAGCCATATTTTTAGCATTCAATAGCTTTGTGTGGCACCACTCTGGACACTGGAGTTTACAACTTTCATAGCATTGCAGCAAGATCTGACAGAAATTGCTAGTGTAGGAGTATATACTTTATTCATCTAATTGATGAAACAAACAGACCCAGTTTCATATTCCGTTGTTCTAAAATGTAGATGCAGACATAGCACTTGCTGTGTTAATCCTTACTCAGCGAGTGTAATGGTTTACAGAAGTGACAGATTCTATAGTCACAGTGTCTTGAAGCCTTTTTTTTTTTTAATAAAAAAAAGACTTTATTTTTTAAAGCAGTTTTAGGTTCACAGAAAAATTGAGCAGAAGGTGCATGCATAGCCTCTCCCATTATTAACGTGCCCACCAGAGTGGTGGGCGACAGCTTAGTTGTTTCCAACTTGGGCAATTATGAATAAAGCTGCTATGAATATTTGCATGCAGGTTTTTCCCCACACTTTTGGGTAAATGCCAAGGGTCATGATTGCTGAATCATACTTTTAGTTTTATAAGAAACTGCCAGACTGTCTTCCAAAGTTACTGTGCAATATTGCATTCCCACCAGCAATGAATGAGAGTTCCTGTTGCTCCACGTTTTTGCCAGCATTTAGTGTTGTCAGTGTGTTTTCACTTTCACCTAGCTCAAAATGTTTTTAGTGTCTTTTGGGATTTCTGTTTTGATGCATGTGTTATTTAAAAGTGTACTGTTTAATCTCCAAGTACCTTTGAATTGTTCAGCCATCTTTCTCTTATTGATTTCTAGATTAATTCCATTGCACTCTGAAAGCAGACATCAAAATGATGTTTATTATTTTAAATATGCTAAGATGTGTTTTATGGCCCAGAATGTGGTCTATTTTGGTGAATGTTGCATGTAAGCTTGGGAAGAATGTGTAATCTGCTCTTCTTGGATAAAGTAGTCAGTGCCAATTATATCCATCTCTTTGTTGACTGTTGTTGAGTTCAACTATGTTTTTACACATTTTCTGCTTTCTAGATCTATCCACTACCGATAGAGGGATGTTGAAGTCTCCAATTATAATAGTGGATTCATCTATTTCTCCTTTCAGTTCCATTTGTTTTTGCCTTATGTATCTTGATGCTTCTCTATTTGGTGCTTACATGTTAAGGATTGTTATGTCATCTTGGAGATTTCTCAATGCCTTTTATTATCTCACTGATGCATTGCCACTCTCTTGAAAGATGCAGCAGTTGATGAAAATTATTTGATATGCAGATCACTGTATTACTTAGTTTATAAGCTAAGATTAGGAATAGCTGAAAAGAATTTGGACTTTAGGTTAATTTCTCACACTTGTTTGGAATTTATATATGGTAAATAATAAAATTATTGATTTTCTGAGGTGTCACAATGAAGAAGTAAGTTGTTGGTGTTAATTATCTTGTTAGCTGTGATATTATGTTGCTCAGTTTTTCCTAGTGTTTTACAGATTCCTGTGGCAAATTCTACCAGGCAAAGCTAAAGCAGCTTGATTTCCTGAATGATACAGAGAAGTCCAGAACACACATAAATAACTGGATTGCTGAAAAAACTGAAGGTGAAAACATATTGGTATTTTATTTCAATAATATTTCAAACAGTCTTACAGTCAGTTTCTTCATAAAACTGTCACATATGACAAGGAGTGCTTTTTTTCTCTAAATAACTATGCAAACTTTAAAAACTTGCTTCTGAAATATTGCCAGAGTGTAGAACTTTTCTCTAGCTTTATCCCTGCTCTTATCATCTATCTGTGATATCTCTCAATATGCAGTATATCTCTTCTAGAAGAACCTACACATTTTTGTTGTTAATATTAGATAGGGTTCTGTTCACACATAGCATTAACATTTGAATTTAAAGGCCTCCCTCTCTGGTATTGCCTATGCGCTATGGTTTATCTATGTAATGTGGCAGGATGCTTGGCCATGTCTTTTGTTTTCTTTTCTTTTTCCTTTTCTTTTCTTTCCTTTCTTTTCTTTTCTTTCTTTCTTTTTTCTTTCTTTCCTTCTTTTTTTTTTTTTGAGACAGTCTTGCTCTGTTGCCCAAGCTAGAGTAAAGTGGTACAATCTCAGCTCACTGCAACCTCCACCTGTTGAGTTCAAGCAGTTCTCCTGTCTTAGCCTCCAGAGTAGCTAGGATAGCTGGGACTACAGGCACCTGCCACCATGCCCAGCTAATTTTTGTATTTTTAGAAGAGGCAGGGTTTCACCATGTTGGCCAGGCTGGTCTTGAACTCCTGACCTCAAACGATCCACCCATCTCGGCCTCCCAAAGTGCTGGGATTGCAGGCGTGAGCCACAGCATCCAGCCAGCGATGCCCTTTTTAGGCTTTAGTTCTTAAACTGTTCTTACGCTTGCTACAACTGCTCACGTTTTTGCCAGTCTTTTATGTTTATTTCTTTAAACCACAGGCACCAATCATTCCTTGCTATATATTATCAGGTCATCCTCTTCCCATTAATATCTACCTGTTTGTTTTATGCTTTCTATTCAAATAGTGATGTTTTTATTACAAGAGCTCTATTTCAAGTTTTTGTTGCAGTGTTGTTACTATGGTCATTGTGAGGATAAGCATCCCTTTACATGGTTATATTTTAGGACACCATGAACTACCTTCATGCATACTTGCTTTCTCAAACAGATGACATAATCTGAATATCCCTCCTGATAAAATCATCAGGGAATACTTTTAGCTAAATGGTTCTTTAATTCTTCTTAACAGGCAAAATTACAGAGATGCTCTCTCCAGATTCAGTTGATTCATTGACTAAGCTGATTCTCGTGAATGCCATCTACTTCAAAGGAAACTGGGAAAGTCAGTTTGTGAAAGAGATGACCAGGGAAATGCCTTTTAAAATTAGCAAGGTGAATATTTTTCAATTTCGGTGGTGATTCTTGGGAACAGTCTCCGTCTTCACGTTGGCTTTAAAACTTGACTCTTGGTAGCTTTGACATGACCCTTTGGTAGTCCAGCAGTAGGACTCCCCTCCAAACCTAGGGGCCTTTCTCCTACCCTTCATCTCCTTTTTGTGTCTCATCAACAGTGGCTACATACTCCCAGCCTTCTGGTCCAGCTCCCTATCTCATCTGTATTCACATCTATACCACAAATCTGAGTCTATAGCCCTTGGCTTCCCAAAACTTGTGAGATAAAGTTCAAAGAGTGGTACGATGTGTGAGGCTCTTGGATCTCGCATATTTCTGTATCTTCATTTCTCAACAGTACCTATATGCGCCTTTCTTTCTTTCATTGTTCCTTCTGGAAAGCCTCTCTGACAGTGCACCTCCCTGAGCTGTCTCTTGCTCCAGGCCGTCACAGCAATCCCTCCCGCTCCATGGTGGCACTGCAGTGGTTGAATCCGGTGTCCCTTTTCCCACTGTGTTTGTTGCCATTTGAGTGCAGAGACTGCTACCTTACCAGTACCTTGTGCTCAACAAGTACTGAACCAATGAATTACGTTCAGTCTTCTGTTGATAATAAAGATGAATAAGCACAAATTTTAACCTAAAAACTAGGTGAGCAAAAACACTTACACAGGACAGACATAGAGTTTAGCTGCCTCCAACTTGGAATACATGATTTGCAAAAGGCCCTTTATCTTTCTCTAAATCTGGTTTATTCTTTCTTTTGTTTAACTCTAGAGATTTCAGGATATTTTCAAAAGTAGACAGAATAGATTAAGTTAATTATTAATCACTAGGTAAATCTTCTGTGCCCACCTGAGCCTGATTGAGTCTTTGGTTTCTCAAGGAATGTATGTTCTTTCTGGCTTTGTTTTAAAATGAACTGTTCCATTTTCCCCTGGAAAACTATTTCTGTCCTTAAATTTTTTTTTTTTTTTTTTGAGATGGAGTCTCACTCTGTGGCCCAGGCTGGAGTGCAATGGTGTGAACTCGGCTACTGCAAGCTCTGCCTCTGGGTTCATGCCATTCTCCTGCCTCAGCCTCCCAAGTAGCTGGGACTACAGGCGCCCGCCACCACGCCCAGCTAATTTTTTTTTGTATCTTTTAGTAGAGACGGGGTTTCACCATGTTAGCCAGGATGCTCTCGATCTCCTGACCTCAAGATCTGCCTGCCTCGGCCTCCCAAAGTGCTGGGATTACAGGCGTGAGCCACCACGCCTGGCCTCTGTCCTTGAATTTTTTTAAACAAAATTTGTGTTAGGATTTCGTTAAACTGCAATTGACAGAAAACTCAACGCCAAGGTTTAAACTCTTGATATTCTTCCTCCACAATAGGAATTCTGGAGGTGGGCAGAGGCCAAGGCTGATGTAGGATGTAAGTGAAAGTTTCAGGGAATCACTCTCTCTTCTGCTCTGCCTTCATTACTTCCATGACTTACTTCCTCATGGTCACAAGCTGGTTCAGACATTAGATACACGATCCAGGCAAGAGAAAGCAGCAAGAACAGAGGAAGAAGAGTAAATCTTGTCTTTCTGAGGTTCTGCCATTTTTCTCATGAAGGAAAGCTTTTTTTCTTTATCTCACAGGCCAGAATTATTTTATGCTATAAGGAGATGAAGAATTCTGTTTTGCTTTCTAGTCTTCACACACACACACACACACACACACACACACACGCACACACGCAAAAAAAAAAACAAGTTGCAATTAATGTTAAGTGTACCAACCTATGTACTTTCTCAAAGGGTGAAGATTTTGAGATGATATACATTTTCATTTTAATTCTTTAATTACAAAATAAAATAAAACTTACCTATACAATTGCAAATTTAGTGAATCATTGAGTTACCACAAATGACCAAGATTGGATCCTTTCATATCACAAGACTAGAGGTATTGAGATCTGAAAGTGGGGAGAGGAATTTTCCTAGACCAGTGGTTGGCAAACTATGCCCAATGGCCAGGTCTAGTCCATCACTTATTTTTATAAATAAAGTTTTATTGAAATACAGCTTTGTTCATATGCTAAAATACTGTCTATAGGTGCTTTCATTTGACAACAGCAGAGTTAAGTACCATTGAGTGTCCCTAACTTGAAAATCCAAAATCTGAAATGCTCCAAACATCTGAAACTTTTTGACCACCAACATGATGCTCAAAGAAAGTGGCCACTGAAGCATTGTGGATTATAGATTTTTTTTTTATATATACTTTAAGTTCTAGGGTATATGTGCACAACATGCAGGTTTGTTACATATGTATACATGTGTCATGTTGGTGTGCTGCACCCTTTAACTCATCATTTACATTAGGTATATCTCCTAATGCTATCCCTCCTAATGCTATCCCTCCCCTCTGATTTTAAGACTAAAGATGCTCGGGACAGTCTCAGTGGTTCACACCTGTAATTCCAGCACTTTGGGAGGCAGAGGCAGGTGGATCATGAAGTCAGGAGATCGACACCATCCTGGCTAACATGGTGAAACCCCATCTCTACTAAAAATACAAAAAATTAGCTGGGCATGGTGGGGCACACCTGTAGTCCCAGCTACTTGGGAGGCTGAGGCAGGGGAATCGCTTGGACCTGGGAGGTGGAGGTTGCAGTGAACCGAGATTGCACCACTGCACTCCAGCCTGGGTGACAGAGCGAGACTCTGTCACACACACACACAAAAAAGATTAAGGATGCCCAACCAGTAGGTATAATACAAATATTTCAAAATCTGAAAAAAATCCAAAATCTGAAACGCTTCTGGCCCCATACATTTCAGATAAGGGATACTCACTCAGCAATTGAGCAGAATTATTGTGTAGAATATAATCATGGTCCTCGAATCATTCTTACTGTGTGAGGATGCATTAGCAACAGATGTGGTGTTCTTCTAGTAAGTTGTGTTAATTTTTCTTTTTTTTTTCAGTATTTTTGTTGTTAAGTTTGTTTCTTCATTTATTTAACGAACAGTGATTGAGTGCTCACTATATGTCATGTATTGTGCTAGGTACTATTCCAGCCATGTTCAAAATCTGCAAAGTGTCCCTCTCCTCATGGAGCTTACATGTTCGTCGGGGAGAAAGACAGTAAACATATATTAAAAAGCAGTGCTATGGAGACAGGTACAAAGAAAAGGTGATAGAAAGTTGAGGTGGGGCAACACAACTTCCGGTAGGGGTCTCAAGGAATCCCTCACTGAAGGAGGTGGTATTTGAGACAAGGACAGAAGGAGGTGAGGCCATATGTGTTACAGGTTCTGGGGGAATGAGTTCAGTGGGCAGAGTTAAGATAGTTTGTCCATGGATCCGTGAAGCAACCACTCTGAGTGTAGCAGACAAGCAAAGGGAGTGCAGTAAGAGGTGAGATCAGAGAGGCAGTGGAGGACAAGCTCCTGACATGATTTGCCAGTTTTTTCAAAGACTTCAGCTTTCACTCTGAGTCAGGAGGGTTTTCAGTTGAGGAGTGATGTGACTTATGTCTTAACAGGGTCTCTCGGCCTCCTGTGTTGAGAATAATCACAGGGAGGATAAGGGTAGAAATAAGGCAATCACTTACGAGTTTATTGCACCATCCAGGACTAGGATGATAGCAGCGGAGGTAGGACGCACAGGTTAGATTTTGGTTACGTTGTAAAAATGGAGCTGATATAATTTGCCAAGGGTCAGATATGTGTTGTGAGAGAAAGATGGGAGTCAACATTCATTCCAGGGTATCCGACAACTGGAAAGATGGTGTCCCCCTCAACTGAGATGGGACAGAAAACAGATGGAGCAGATTGGGAAGGGGTTGTGAGGAGCCCAGTGTTACAAGTTAGACTGGAGGTTGGTTTTATATGTTCAGATGCTGATGTTGAGTAGGGCAGTGAAATTTATGAATTTGGACTACTGAGGTGAGCTCCAGGCCAGAGGTGCAGATTTGGGTTTTATATTTAAATTCATAAGACTAAATGAAATGATAGGGGTGAAAAGAAATCGTTTTCCTCTATATTCGCAAGTTCTTTGGCTGGGACCTTGTAGAGTGACAAAAGAGAATTAACAAGAGAAAAACGAACAGAAATTTATTAACTTGTGCATCACACACGTACATGGGAAAACTCAGTGATAAGTAATTTGAAGAAGTCATTAGAATTTGTGGTGTTTTTACCCAACTTAGTAGGAGAAAGGGAGGGGAACAAAGGGCACTTGGGAAAAACAAATGCCTTTTGTGGAAAGATAAATGGATCCTTTTGGAGCAGAATCGATGGCAGAGGTAATAGGCTTGTGACAATGTCTGGCTGGGTGTGTGCAGACTTTTCATCTCTAAGAAAATTAGAATTGTTACCAAGGAAGAGAATAATGAAAATTGAGTTTTTTCGGGGACATTCTGCTTTTAGGCAGATAGGCTATTTCAGGAACTCTAATGTCTTCAGTTCAAAATATTCTTAAACCAAGGTGGTATATTTCAGAGTGGCATATGCTAATCTGCTTCAAGATCACCAACAGAAAGCAAGGTAAGGATTGAGGCCTGGGTAGCCCAGTGTTTGGAGACTGAGGTAATGACCATGAACCAGTAAAGGAAGGGTCTAATACGGGTTTCTAGAGACCAAAGAAAGAAAGCATTTGTAGGGGCAGAAAGTGACCAGCTCTGTTGATTATGCTCAATATTCAACTCTTGTGCTTCAACTTAATGTGTATCTGTTTCCTTTCTAGAACAAAGAAAAACCTGTGCAAATGATGTTTAAGGAATCCATCTTTAAAATGACCTATGTAAGGAAAATATCCAGCCAAATTCTAGTGCTTCCCTATGTTGGAAAGGAACTGAATATGATCATTTTGCTTCCCAATGAAAACACTGATTTGAAAATGGTAATGAGTGTTCAAAGTATGCATTTTATCATAGTAAAGGCTCTCACAAGTCTTTTAGGAAAAAAACTTTGAAAATTTGCTTTTACCAGTGTTTCCCTGACATATTTGGCCACATGCCCTTTTCTGTTTTCATGATTACATCCAGTGGGGTGATGTTCTAAGTGTTGAACACAATTTAGAAAATACTCTTATCCTAGAATGGGCTCGGGTTGGGGGTCAACTCTGAACTCTGAACCAGGTCAGAGTTCAATGTCCTTCTTTACAATTTAGAAATCTGTACTCTTTCAGGCTGTTTATTCCTATGGAAAATGGTGGCGGTACCTCCCTATGAGGGATGTCATAGGATGGAAGACATAGTATATATAATGCATTTGTTTCGATGCACAGAGTATGCCATTGACTAATATTAGTAGTCTTCTCCACAACCTTGCCCCATAGTTGTAAGTTTGCTCTTTAGAAAGCAGTCATGTGGGGGAACAGCTGCTGTGACTCCGTGCATCATTTGAGGATCTTGTTAGAAAGAAGATTCTGATTTAGTAAGACTGGAATGGAGGAGCCTGAGAATCTGCATTTCCACCAAGCTCCTCGGCGATGCTGAGGCTGCTAGCCCATGGACCACACTGAATAGCAAGGTTGTAGAGAGTCAATGAAAAATTTAGCTGGAGAGTAATTTGAGTTTCCAGAAAGCTAATCCTTTTGCCTGCAATGGATGAGTTGGAAGTATCGATAATAGAGATAGGTCAGAAGGGATGTTGCTATGCCTTTCAAGCAAGACATGACAAAGGCCTGAATGAAGGCAGTGGCAGCAGAGATGAAGTAAGGGCCAGATGAGAGAGAGATTTGGAAATTTAAATTAACAGAAAATGATGATGGATTCATTGGAAGAAAGTTTGGATGGAAGAAAAGGCAAGTCTGAGATATCCTACCTCAACATGCTGCTGTTAAGCTACAACACCAAACTTTGTAAGAACAGCTGTTCTTATACGAATGCAGCCAAACTGTAAGATTCTGCCTCAGGGAAATGGTTTGACTAAGTTTCTGGAAATGAAGAGTCAAAGCACAGAAATATAAAATCAATTCATATTTGAATGGTTTAGCATTACTGTGCTGTCATCCAGATGTGTGCAGTCCAATATGGTAGCCACTAGCCACCTGTAACTATTTACATTTTCATTAGTTAAAATTAAATAACATTTTAAAAATCAAGGCTTCCTTTATACTACACACACTTCTAGTGCTCCATAGCCATATTTGGCTCATGGCTATCACATTTGGTAGCATGGCCATACATCGTTAACATCATAGCAGAAAACTGTATTGGGTAACACTGATCTAGACCCTAAAACATCCAACACTCTTCTTCTAGGTGGAGAAAAAACTTTCTTATGAGAGATTCATAGAATGGACAAACCCAGACAACATGCATGAACGAGAGATGGAAGTTTTCCTTCCTAGATTTAAACTAGAGGAAACTTACAACATGGAGGACGTCCTTCGCAGTATGGGCATGGTCGATGCCTTTGAACAGGACAGGGCAGACTTCTCAGGAATGTCATCTAAGAAGGATCTGTACTTGTCCAAGGTCATGCACAAGTCCTTTGTGGAGGTCAATGAGGAAGGTACAGAAGCAGCAGCAGCTACCACCGAAGAAATAGTTTTATGTTGTGCCAGTTACTCCCTCAGGTTCTGTGCAGACCATCCCTTCCTTTTCTTCATCCAGCACAGCAAAACCAATGGTATTCTCTTCTGTGGCCGGTTTTCCTCTCCATAAGGACATAGGTAGTCATTGGATATAGTCCTTCTCTTTTCTCTTAGTGACCTACATTTCCTCCACTCTTTATAGTGTGCCTGTGACCCAAAGTGACTTTATAATTGCAGCAGTCAAAAATGAGATGTTAGGAATCTAATTTTGAAATTTCTTGTTGAGAACCCTTATGTGTGTGTTTGCATGTTAAATGTTTTCTAGGGTCTGAACTTGTCTCCAAGGATTTTGTGGTCACTTTGCAGGTGGTATCAATGACCACTTAGTCAAACCCCTCTGCTTGAAATGAGGTGTAACCCTCTCCCCACTGCCCACATCAACATATTCCAACTGTCAGAGTTATCTGCTATCTCTTCACTTTGTATATGGTGCCACCCTCACAGAATGCTATCCTTCTGTTTTCCCAAACACAAGAAGATACATGTTATTTTCTGTCTTCTCTGTTCAATAGTATTGACAAATGTGGGCCCATTTTTAATGGAACAATAGAAAGTGAAATGGAGACTGGGGAGGAAGTATGGTGAGCAGGACTCAGCAATTCTCAGAAGTGGCCCAGCAGGGTGGCTCACACCTGTAACCAGCACTTTGGGAGGCCAAGATGGGTGGATCATTTGAGGCCAGGAGTTTGAGACCAGCCCGGCCAACATGGTGAAACCCGGTCTCTACTAAAAATACAAAAATTAGCTGGGCATGGTGGTGCACGCCTATAGTCCCAGCTACTTGGGAGGCTAAGGCAGGAGAATCACTTGAACCTGGCAGGTGGAGGTTGCAGTGAGCTGAGATAGTGCCACTGCGCTACCTGGGCGAGATAGCGAGACTCTGTCAAAAAAAAAAAAAAAAAAAAAAAAAAAGGAAGGAAGGGAGGGAGGGAGGGAGGGAAAGAAATTTTCAGAAGCGACTTCTATTCCAGCTCTTCAGAAGCTGGCACAGAGGGTGAGAGAGCAGTTAACTGAGACCAGTGAGAATTCAGTCCAATTTCCCGGGTGTTTCTGTTTTAATCATAGTTTGCATTCACAGGGATCAGTGGGTCACAAGCCTATTCAAATGTACAACTATCCACTTTCTCTGAAAATTTACACTTGCTATCAGGAGGCAGAGATGATTATATATGTTCTGTTCACAGTAATGTAGTCTGAGACAGCTTCACGGGTAAACATCACATGTCGTTCTATATTTGAAATATTTTTTGAAAAGGACGTTAAGCTTTCTGTGGCCATTTGTGTTACAGGCTTGAAATGCAACTGCTGTGATCAGTGATAAGGGAACACACTGATGATTTAGATTGAATAGGGAGGGTTATATTGTTTTCTAGGGCACAGCTAAAAAGACTTATTCCATCAACCCCCTTGCAGCCAGAAAGACCCTGAGCCCTCAGAACTTCACTGACACAACCCATATTTTCTTTCCATAACTGGCCCACTTTTCCCTTTGCACCAAAGCCAGCTAGCTAGCTTCAGGGAGAGAATTGGACTGAGGATTATAAGGAAACATCCACGTTGTATGTGGGCTGAGAGAGGAAAGCGGGAGTATCGGAGGTTGCCGGGTTTGCTACTCTCATTCCTCTTCCTCCTCTGCCCAACACTTGGACTTGGAAAGAACTCTGAAAGGTGGGGAATAATCAGCTCATGTGATTCTCCCACTGCAGAGAGACTCTGAGTGTTACAGCCAGGGGCCACAGGGTGGCGCCCTGTTCCTCAGGGAAGCACATGCCTCTTTGCACTGCCTTGCGGATAGTCCAGTCAAGTGCAGTAAGAGTTGGGAGTGGGGAGTGTAAATGGAGTAGTCTCTAACTATCCAAATAGGAAGGTGGTTTTTTTTTTTTTCTCTTTCCTGGCATGAAGATAATCAAATCATTTCAATAGTGAATTATGAAAATGAATGATAATGGTTTTATCTGTTATAGAAATATAACATAATCAGACTTTAGCCATGTAAATCATAAAACATAGAGATAACAATATGCATATTGTTCCTAGAGCATTTTGTAAAATTATGTTTGTCATATTCTCTTTGAAGAGTTATCACTCAATATTTTATTTCTGTCTTGTAAGACCTGACTGCCTTGACATCTATGGGCTTCTCAGGGCCTCAGAGGCCTGGCCACGCAGTCCCCTGCTCTTGTCAGATATGTGCACCCTGTTCACCCACTAAGCAGGAAGCCTCCTTCCCCTTCTGAGTTCCCCTATCGGCCAGTCAGTGCTACCCCACCTGGGTCTCAACCTGGCTCACTGCCCTCCAGCCTGGAAAATTATTCAAACAAGCCTGTCACATCTGGAGGAACCAGGAATCGCCTCTTCCTCTTGTTATTGCAAAGCCTGCCTTCCACAGCCCCTGCTGGTTCACTCTTTTCCCAAATGCAACTCTCCTGTGACCCTGCATGGCATACAGTGACCTCCCTCCTTGGGCTCTTAGCAGATGTGACTAATAAACTGCTGCCAGTTTCATCTGTCCAGTGTCTCATGCTGTGTGTCTGGTTGTCTCCTACTATTTAGTGGGGGAGGTCCCTCCTTCACCAACAAGGTGAATATGAGATGATCAAAACAACTACAGCGAAAGGTCCAGCCTCCCAAATAATAACTCCATGTCTTTTGTGAACTTGCACTAAGACATTTCCTTTACACTATGTAGTGTTTCTTGTAAGGATCCACAAAGTAAGTTCCATTTAGAATTGAATTCTAGGGGAAAAAGTTGATCTCACCTCTTCAGAGATGTTTACTGAATACCTTCTTTGCATTGGACATTTTACATTGATTATTTAATCCTCGGGGATAATAAACCCATGAGGAATCTGAGACTCAGAAGTAACTCGAACAAGTTCTTGTAGCTGGCAATGAGGTAGAATGTGGATCCAATGTCTGGTAATGCCAAAAACCGGAAAATTACTTAAACAAGCCTGGTACCTCCAGAAAAGCCATGGGTAATCTCTTCCTCTTGTTATCATGAAACGTGCCTATATCAGCTCCTACCAGAAGGTCAGCTGTCAGCATAGTGCAGGAAGAGTAGGGACCAGAAACCTGTCTCCCTTTAACATGAAGTCTGATTTCTTTGGCTGTGTTATCCATCTGAAAAGTGGGACTCGGAAACTTCCGGCACCAAAAGCACATCATCCTGGATCCAGGGATGAGCATCCTGGGATACAGACCTAAGGTCAGGTGCATCTGGGTGCTATGAACTCTGGAAGCATTGCTGCCTCCTCCAGGAATCCTGAATGGAGGCCCTGAGAGCCTTCACTCCTCCTATGCATCAATAAATGGGAACTCTAAGGCTCTTGCATCCCTCTTCTTAAAGAGGGCTGCAGGGCCACAACTGCAAAAGAGAGGTCCAAAGCAGGGGATGGTTTAGAGACTGAGAAGATGCAGGCTCTACCCGCATGAGGCACCCCTCAAGAAGCTGATGCACTTCGGCATGTGAAAGATGGCCTTTCCTTTCCTGACCTGAAGCTTCTGTGTTGAAGGAGATGGAGGGGGCAGAGGACTGGAGGGAGGTTTCCAGTCCTGTGGGCTTGCTGCACAAGCTGACGTTAATCTGATACTCACAGGTCATAGCATGGACCATGCACACCTGATTGGCATATCTAGTGGCTGTTGGGGAGTGCAGCATAAAATTCTTCTCCCACCTATACTAGTCTTGAACTCCTGTCCTCGTGATCCACCCGCCTTGGCCTCCCAAAGTGCTGGGATTACAGGCGTGAGCCACCGCGCCAGGCCGGAAGTAGTTTGCTTTCTCTAGCTACTTGTGACCAAGCATACAATGTTTTATCAGTGAATTCCTTACATATTGTCCTTGAAGGATTCTGGAGAGGATCCGGAACAGAGACAGATTCACTAGTTATCATCCCAAATTTAATGACAGGTTTGCCTGATCACTCCATTCATTGCTGTGCCAGGTATCAATTTATTGTTTATCAGCTCTAAATCTACCGTTGCGGACTTTATGGTAGTAAACCTGGATCCTATAACATGAACTTGGCTGACTGGCCCAGTGTTTGGCTTTGCCAGTAGAGGGAGCTGGAGAGACACTGTAAGAAGATAGCAGTAGAAACGCACTTTCTGGATTCTGATTTTAGGATTATTCAGTGTAGGCACCCAGCAGCCCACTTGGTCATCTGTAGCCACATTCTCAGGGCATGCTTTCTCCACACAGTGGTCATTTCTGCCTTTGGCCAAGATGCAACTTCTGGCAATTATTTTCTTATGAGGCATTTGCTTCTACGGACCAGCCACAGCCTGCCCACACCCTCCAGCAAGGGCATATGGCTTCTTATAAGCCAGCTTTGGCCATCTGGCAAGTTTCATAGCCACTGCAGACTGCATGTTCCTGTGGCAACCACACCTTCAAAGAACTCTGAATATCAGCCTTGGGACATTTAGTCACGTTAGTTTGCTCAGGTGGGTATAATAAAATACCATAGTCTGGGTGTGGTGGCTCATGCCTGTAATCCCAGCACTTTGGAAGGCCAAGGTGGGCAGATCACCTGAGGTCAGGAGTTAAAGAGACCATCCTGGCCAACATGGTGAAACCCCGTCTCTACTAAAAATACAAAAACGAAAACAAAAACAAAAAAATTAACTGGGCATGGTGGCACCTGCCTATAGTCCCAGCTACTCAGGAGGCTGAGCCAGGAGAATCGCTTGAACCCAGGAGACAGAGGTTGCAGTGAACCAAGATCATGCCACTGCACTCCAGCTTGGGCAACAGAGTGAGACACTGTCTCAGAAAATAAAAATAAAAAATAAAAATAAAATACCATAGACTGGGCAGTTTACGCAACTGGCATTTCTCAGAGTTTTGGAGGCTGGGAAGTCCAAGATCAGGTGCTAGGAGATTTGGTTTCTGATGAGGGTTCTATTCCTGGCTTGCAGAAGGCCACCTTCTAGCTATGTTCACATGGCAGGGAGAGCAATTTCTCTCTTCTTCTTCTTTTAATGCCACCAATTCCTTCAAGAGGGCCCAACCCTCCTGACTTTATTTTACCCCAAGCAACTCCCAAAGGTCCTATCTCCAGATACTATCATCTTAGGGGTTAGGGCTTTTACGTAAAAATTTTATGAGGACATAATACAGTCCATAGCATATGTCTTTTCCTAAGTCTTTAGCTCTTTTTCTTTTTTCCACTTACCCCAAGACATGAAGTGACCATTTCTCTTTTGTACCTTCTAAATCTGCTCCCATTACAGTGTTTTTTTAAAAATCTATTACTTAATAATTCTTTATATTCTCTTCAAATCTGTGATGTAGTTTCTGTTTGCAGAGTGAACATTACCTAATATAACTGAATAAACAGCTTTCATACTATTATGAAAGAGTGTGGCAGAAGCTTGAAGTCCACAGTGTGGGTCTACCAAACACATTCTGGCTTGAGGGAATGCAGATATTAGAAAAACTACTCCACTGGCCAGGCGCGGTGGCTCACGCGTGTAATCCCAGCACTTTGGGAGGCCGAGACGGGCAGCTCACTGGGTCAGGAGATCGAAACCATCCTGGCTAACACG